CGCTAATCGTTCATTTATGGCCACTGGTTCCCAGACTTGATTTAGTTAGTCCCCTTTGACCTCCAGCTCAATTTTGGCTAGCTCAGTCTTGTTATGCGTCTCCAAGGGAGCCCGCTGGAGCTCGAGATCCCGCTTAACCCGGTACTCCTGGATCTGAGCAATCCCTAAAGCTTTCTTAGCCGCAGTACTTTTACGACTGGAAGCACAAAGTGACTTACAAGAACCAGGGCGTGAAGCAAACTGCATTTCAATTGTTTCCGCCGCAGCTTCAATCGTTTCGGTGTCCTTGGATCCGGTTTCCTTCACAATCGTTCCAAAAGTTGACATCTTTATTTCGAACAAGACGACGTAAGATGTCGAATACTGTAACGGTCGAATGGTATCTTCAAGTGACGCGTACTACCAGAACCCCCAGGTAGGCAAAACAAAGTCGGAGCTGGGTTTCCATACCGTAATGTTAGGGTAAGAGGAATTCACAAGTTATACAAACCTCGAGAGTAGATACGCGTCCAAAACAAAAAGTCCGCTTGGACTACAAAAGTATAAAGCAAGGGAGCAAACAGGCTCCCACGTGCGATACAATATCCGCATCAAGGAGTAGAGCTGAAGTGGATTTGGGATTAAGTGCTAATGATGAGCAGATTTGATGCCAAGTACTCGCTCGTTCACTAAATAAATCTTTACCACGACTGCATCTTAGGACGCATGCGATGCTCGTATCGCATGGCTCAAGTCCATACCAATTGATACTACGACCGACTGTTTTATACTCCTCTATATCTTTAGCTTCGCTGCGTCCATTAATGCGTATACTTGCTGGATTTCGTTATCGAATGATTGATGTAGAAACGGTTCCATCAGTACTGGCAGCGAGATTTGCTAAGCAGGCAATGAGTTTACCTATTTAACAATAGGTGCCCAGCTGCAGCGTGGATACCAATCAAGAATTGTGGCCAACGGGTTTTATTTACCAATTAGTGAGTCAGCAACCAATACAACGCTATTCCTGAAGATGCACTATTTGTACGGACTATATCTACGAGTTTTAACTGATTATATATTTTCCCCTCGGAAACCATGTCAGGTAAAATTGGCTCCTGAAAAAGAAGAAGCTATGTTTTTGATGATGCAACCAATAAATAGAAGCGTAATTAGCCAAGGGTGGTTGTGCATCTCTCAAACATGGGCTTAGCAGACGGATGACGTGCACGGATATGAAGGACCGTCGTTGACCAGCGGATAATTATACCGTGCATAGTTCAGGCATCATGATCAGCG